TCTCTCTCTGTCAAATAAATAAATAAAATCTTAAAAAAAAAAAAAAAAGTGATTGCTATGGATAACCCTCCAGGACAGCAGGGAAAGCCAGGCCACGCCATGACCCCAGGAACCAGAGCTGCAGGGCCTTTCCTAACCTTTGACCTCAGGAGAGATAAAACACCCAGTGCTGTTCTTGCCAGGAAGATAGTGCAGTGGAATGGTTATGGGTCAGTTGCAGAAAGATCATTCTGGAAAGCAAAATTTGCCACACTTGTCCAGGTCAGTGACCCACGTTATCTCAGGTGGTGGTATTCCAGGAGCCGAGGTTTTAAGACAAGAAGCGGACTGGGCGCCTGGGTGGCTCAGTAGGTGAAGCGACGGACTCTTGATCTCAGCTCAGGTCTCGATCTCAGGGTTGTGAGTTAGAGGCCCCGAGTTGGGCTCCACGCTGGGCATGGAGCCAACTTAAAAAAAAAAAAAAAAAGCGGAACCCTTCCTGCTCTCTGGGTGTTAACCATATTAGACACTCTGCTCGGCGCCTGCTTTCTGCGTGTCCCTGAGGTGGTGGTGCCGCCTGCTTTCACAAATAAGCAAACGGAGGCGCAGGGACGTGATGAGCAGAGCGGTGCCTAAAAGAAAGCCCTGCATTTCTGTGCCTCCTCCGGGGCCGGGTTCTTTGGGGCAGAAATGTGCACACATAGGAACCAAGGTGACCCACACCTAGAAGGGGCCAGTCCCCTTGGCACATGGACATGACCTCCAAACTGTGGCTAACCTGAAAATACATGCTGCTGCCTAAGGAAAAATAAATAAAGCTTCCTGTTCTTGACACAACTGACCTATTGGGCACTTGAGATGGAATCAGATTGCAGCTGTAAAGCATGTTGAGTGCCAGAACACTCTTTGGGCTTGTCCAGGCCCGCCTGGCTTCCATCCTCCCAACGAGCATCTGCTTTGATGCCTCAGCTCTGTTTGGGAGGCGGTGAACACCTGACAGTGAAACCCGTTTCTTGTGTCCCCAAAATAGCCCCCACCTGTATTCGGAGCCCTGGAAATGGTTCAGACGTCACAGCTTCCCCCTCCACGTCACTGGGTCTAATGAATCAGGGCACCTCCTTTCCACATCTGACTGGTCACCGACCAGTTTACTGATCCCACCTCATCAATTTCTGGAATCCTCCTCTCCAGACCCAGCCCCCCAGCCCCTGCCCCAGGCTGTCCACCCTTGCCTCTGGTTCCCTTCCCTCAAATAAATAAATAAGCAAGCAAGCAAGCAAAGTCAGTCTCTCATCTAAAATTCTCTTTGGCTACAAAACAAATTCTTTTACATGCTCGTTGCCTAGGACAGGTGTATCAATTCCCTGCGGCCATTGTGACAAGTGACTGCCCCCTCGGTGGCCTAAAACAACATACATTTATTCTTTTAGAGCCCCGGAGGTCAGAAGTGTGAAAGCAGTCTTACGAGGCTAAAATTAAGGTGTCAGCTGGGCTGCGGCCCTTCTGGGAGTGCTAGGAGGAAATCTGTTTCTGGGCCTTTTCCAGCTTCTAGAAGCTGCCTGCATCCTGTGGCTCATGGCCCCTCCTCTACCTGCACAGCCAGCAACAGGATCACCGGCCTCTGCTCCGTCATCACATCTCCTCTGCCTCTGATCCTCCTGCCCTCCTTCTATAAGAACCTTGTGATTACGCGTCCCATTCGGATCATCCATGATCATCTCCCCCTCTCTGGATCCTTAACTTAATACCATCTGTAGAATCCCCTCTGCCAGGTAAGGTCATGCAGCTGGAGGTACCAGGAGACAAGGTCATGGACATCTTGGAGGGGCTGCTGTTCGGTCCACCGTAACAGGATTCACATACTTTCTCTGAAAAGGGCCCGACAGTAAATACTGTAGGCTTTGTGGGCCATATGGTCTCTGTCACCAGGCCTGGCTATGTAATTTTCAGGACCCTGATGCAAGATAAAAATGAGGGGCCCCTCATTCACAGATTATTGAGAATTTCAAAATGGTGACAAAAGAGCAGGGCCCGGTGAGACCACAGCATGCATGGCCAGGAAGCGGGCCCTGCCTGGGAGTTGTCTGCTGCTGCTGCCGTGGCTTGAAAAGCCACCAAAGGGCCATATGCAGACGACAGGTGACGCTGTGTCACTAGCAAACTTGGCGGGACACCTAAACTATAACTTTCGCAGGTCACAAGACGCTATTCTGCTTTTGCTTTTGTTTTTGTTTTAAGGAAGCTCCACGCCCAACGTGGGGTTTGAACTCAGGACCCTGAGATCAAGAGTCACGTGCTCCACCTACTGAGCCAGCCAGGCGCTCCTCTTTTGTTATTTTTTCAACTACTTAAAAATGTAAACATCCAAGGTGCCCGGATGGCTCAGTCGGTTAAGCTTCTGACTCTTGGTTTCGGCTCAGGTCAAGATCTCAGGGTCGGGAGATCGCGCCCCGTGACGGGCACCGCACTGGACATGGAGCCTGTTTGGGACTCTCTCCCCCTCTCCCTCACCCTTCCCCACCCCCTTGTGCACTCGTGCTCTCTTTCGCTTCAAGAAAAAAAAAAAAAAAAAAGAGTAAACCTCACTCTTACTCACAGGCTGTACAAATACAAGTGTGGGCTGAATCAAGCTGTAATTTGCCGGCTCCTGGTCAACGGGATAAAATCCCAACTTCTCTGCCTGACTTTCCAGGGCCCTTTGAGGCTGGAGACAGACACCCCAGTCCCACCTCACAATCTGCATCCAGTGCTCCTGATGGCTCCTGTTTCCTACCAGATCCCCTGGGACAAATCCGTGCCTGCACTCCTCCGGGCTCCTCCATCCAGAAGCCCCACCTCACACCTGCTCCCACTATATTTCGGCTTAGACACTGTGCTCCATGAGAAGCGGTGCTCTGTGCCTATCCCTTGTCACCCCTGCTGGATTTATGTGTATATGCATCCTCCTCTCTCTAGGGCAGTGATGTGCTCAAGGGTGGGAATGCAGGCTAAGCCAGCTTTGTGTCTCCTGACCTCACAGGCCCTCAGAGATGGTACTTAGAGGGACGGCAAGAACAACGTAGAATTTCGGTGGCTGGCGTGTACTCAGATTCTGACCCCTAAGAACTAAAACTATGCTTCTTACCGAAAACAAAAACAAAACAATCCCCCGCCCCCAATCAAGAACTTCCTCTCTCAAATTCAGACCAAGAAAATAAAGATCTCTGAGACTAAACGGACCTGGGTTCCGATCCTGACTGTCCTTACTAGACCTGTGCCCTTGGACAAGTCACCTCCCTTGCTCTTTTTTTTTTAAATATGGAACGCTTCACAAATTTGCATGTCATCCTTGCATAGGGGCCATGCTAATCTTCTCTGTATTGTTCCAATTTTAGTATATGTGCTGCCAAAACGAGCACACCTCTTTTGCTCTTAAGACCGAGTCTCAATTCGCCATGGCCCACCAGGCCCTGTGTGATTTGCCCCTTCCAATCCCATGAGTCTTCTCTCCTGCCCGTCTCCACCACTGGCCTTTTCTCAGTCCCTAAGTGTGCCAGGCTCCTGCCTGCCTCAGGGTCTTTGCACTTCCTGTTCTTTCTGCCTGAAACATTCTGCCCCTCCCCCTTGCCTAGTGACTTACCCTTCCTGCCTCAGCTGCAACCCCACTGACTTGGGAAGCCTTCCTGGCCACCTCAAAATGAGGTTCTCCTGCTACATGCTTTTCTGGCACTCTGAACCTCTGCAGATTTTAATTATTTTATAATGATCGTAATTGTGCGATTTCTGATCACTATGAACAAGAATCAGATTTAATAAGCACTTCACGCCACACTGTTCCAAAGGTTCTAAGAGTACTTGAGTTCATTTAATTTTCCCAGTGCCCTCATGAAGTACTATAATCACCCCCATTTCGCGGATGGGGAGGCTGAAGTTTAGAGAGATTAAAAAAACTTACCCAAGGTTGCACACCTCGTCAATATTGGAGTTGCTCTCTTAAGCCTGTTCCCACAGGTTGACTGTGACTTCCGTGAGGGCAGATTCCCCCTCTGGCACAGTCGCTGTTGTATCCCCAGGGCGGAGCCCCTGCATCGGGCACACTGGGGCTGATTAAAAAGTATTGATGACCTAAAAGAAACAACACCCCAGTAGCAACAAGCACTCCGAGTGCCCAGATCTTGGTTTCTAACACCACTCTCTAATAAAAGAAACCAGGTGGGGAGAAATGGCTGATTCTAGGACTGGGGCAGGAAATATATGAGATGAGCCCAGAGCATCTTGTAGTACCAGAAGTAAGGAAGTACCCCCAAGAAAACCAAAAACCCCCAAACCAAACACACTGATGGGAGTGTGTCAAAGGGTGGCAGGAGCCAACTGAAAGAGCTCCCAATGGCCAAAGCTGGAACAATTCGAACAACAAAATAAAGTCGTATTGGATTATAAAGCAGAGGATGAAATAAATATCCAGCAGCCACACTGTTATAATTAAATGATGGGTAAACCAATAAATTAGGAAGAGAACAGAAATCTCCCATGCAGAAGAATTCCACATAATTTACACAAACATCTCATGTAAGGAACATATCTCATTCTTTAGGTGTGTGCTGCACATAATGATTTCCTTCCAAAGTATACAATATAGAAAGGGGGGGGGGAGGCAAGTAACTTTATAGTGGAGAAACCTGACAAATGCTACCTCAGCCCGCAATCAAGGTCAACATCAACAGGTATAGATAATGTTGGCAGTATGTACCCTTGACAGGAGGTGATGAGAGTCACACTTTACCTCTGGGGTTCTTCCTCCCCCCCAGCCCATCATCCCAGTCTTATCACAAGAAAAACACCAGACTTGGGGCGCCTGGGTGGCTCAGTCGTTAAGTGTCTGCCTTCGGCTCAGGTCATGATCCCAGGGTCCTGGGATTGAGCCCCGCATCAGGCTCCCTGCTCGGCGGGAAGCCTGCTTCTCCCTCTCCCACTCCCCCTGCTGTGTTCCCTCTCTCACTGTGTCTCGCTCTGTCAAATAAATTTAAAAAAGAAAAGAAAAAAAAAAGAAAAACACCAGACAGATTCCAAAAGAGGGGTACTCTACAAAATACCTGATCATTTCTTCTCAAAACCATTAAGGTCATCAAAAACAAGAAAAGTCTGAGAACCCACCACAGCCGAGAGGCACCTAAAGAAATAGGACAACTAAATGAGTGGATCTTAAAAATTCTCAACACAACAACAACAAAGTATTTATAATTATGGGTGCTGATAGGTGTTAACTAAACTTCTTGCACTAATTATCTTACAACATATACACATATTAAATCATTATGCTGTACATCGAAAACTAGCATGTGTTACATGTCAATTATATCTCAAAAAAAAGAAAAAAAAAGAGAGAGAGAGAGAGAGAACCAGGACAACTAAAAGTAATGTGGCATCCTGCATGGGATTCTGGAAGGGAAGAAGGACATTAAGTAAAAACAAAGGAAATCTAAATAAACTATGAACTTTGGTTCATAATGTATCAATTTTGATTCATTAATTATTACAAATGTATCATGCTAATGAAAGATGTTACTAATAGGAGAAACTGGGTGTGGGGAAAATGGTAACTCTGTACTTTCTTTCAAATATTTCTGTAAATCTCAAACTGCTCCAAAAGACAAAGTCTATTAACGAGAACAAAAACAAAGTATAGATGAATACATGAAGGACCTCATTCTTCACCATGACGACGATTATAGCTCCTTTCTCACAGAGCTACTGTGAGGATTACACATAAAGTATTTAGCATGAAGTACACACTGGATTCAGAGCACTGTCCACCATTCTACTAAATCTATGCCATCCACTATGGGAGCCACAAGCTCTATGTGACTAAATTTAAATTAAGTAAAAATTAAGGACATTAAAAATTCAGTTCTTCTGTGGCACCAGCCACATGTCAAGTGCCCAAAAGCCACGTGGAGCGAGTGGCTACTAAATTAGACAGTGATGATAAAGAACATGCCCATCATTGCAGGAAGTCCGACCAGACAAACACGGCATTAAACAATGAATGGCATAATTACTTGCTCAATTCCTTCTGCAAATGCCATCTTCTCAACCTTCCCTACCTCCCTCTTTCAAACTGCCATCCCCCCACATTCCCCATACCCTTTCTCCCATTTACTTTTCTTCTTACCCCTTTCCGCCACTTGGGAAATCCACTTGATGTCTCTTCTGCCTCCCCACCTAGCACTGCAGGTCCAAAGCAGTAGCCGCGTGGTTGCTGAGCTCTTGAAATGTAGCCAGTCCACTTTGAGATGGCCCTGTGTAAGACATACCAGATTTCAGAGGAGTGGGGGGTGGGGGCAGAGGATATAAAAAATCTCATAACCTTTTATACTGATTACACGTAGAAATAACATTTTGGACACGTTGTTAAATGAAACACATCATTAATAGTAACATCACCTGTTTTTTTTTTTTTTTTAACTTTCCTTTCCTTTAACACAGCTCCTAGAAATTTTAATATGCACCTAACATTTGTGACTAACATTTTTGTCCATTCGCTGCCCAATACAAGTGACTGGCATATAGTAGACGCTCAATAAAATTTTAATGACTGCTAGGCTGCGCCTCCGGGAACCCGCTAGCTCCAACAGTCAACACTGATATAAGGCAGACCACGTCCCATGCTCCACCTCCTCACCACACCAGATAAGGAAACTGAGGCCCCACGAGGTGACGTCAGCCATTTCCTAACGGCACGTAGTGCGGAAACGTCGGGGTCGGGATTCGAACCCGGGTCCTGTCCCCACAGCCCTGGCGCGCTGACCATTCCTACCTGGCAGGGAGGCGGCGGCGGCGGGAAAGACAGGCGCGAGGCACACAGCATGCGCTCGGCAAGGGGCGCGGCTCTTCGGCCACCGCCTTCCGTCGGCCTCCGTGGGCCGGGCCATAGCTGGCCCCCTCCGCGGCCATCGCCGGCCACCC